ACCGCAGAGTGGCAATGTGTAGTCGTAAGTATTTTCACAAGGAAAATAATAAATGGCATAAATATAATAAATAAAAATATATAGGATTAAAAGGAGTAATGAGAAATAGTGTATTATGATCAATCTCTTTCTTGTTGAAATCCATTGATCATGAAATACGATAATATGCCGTTCACAAGCAGTCCAAGCCATAAGTATTGTTCCTTCATCGTACATATCAATATTCATAAACCACCACAAGAGACAAATCGATGGATTCGATGGAACAACACTCGAATGAGCAATAAAATTAAGATAAAAAGGAACATCAATTAATTGAGAACCTAGGTCAAGAAGCAATAAAATAACGAGAACATGATTCTTGATGTTAGAGCGTAAGCTTCGATCAGTAAGGATACAGAAGAGAACAAAAAATGCACAAGCTATGAATGGAATATCAAATAGAAGAAGAATCCAAAAGGAAACAGTTCGTGGTAGAGAGATTTCGGTGCTGGAGACTGAAATATTTTCCGTAGCATTCGAACTTTGATTGTTATTCATAACTGAAATTTTCAAAATAATCAAAGAATAACTTGACACATCAAAATAAACTAGAATGTACATAGAACATCATCCAGCTTTGAATTATGATTATCTATGAGATTCTCTAGAATGGTGATGCGTGAAATCATGTCAAACAAGTTGGCATTCAACCTACTTAACTAAATTTGTCCACTTAAATTCGGTACGAGTCAGTGAATGAGTGATCGTGAGAGATATTTGACCGTAAAAATAAATATGTAGTTGCTCACTATCGTGTTGAAGTAGCGTTCGAAAAATAGATTTCATCTGTATACTCGTTACAAGAGCTCTGCGGGAAGTAATCAGACTAATAAAGCTAATAAGACTCGAAATATGATGCATTGGTAGAAGACGGACAGTGCATCATTTTATAAACTTTATACTAAAACCTAAGACACTGCTATGAATAGATGTAATCGGTCTGCAAGAACGAATTGATACTTGTGAGAACATGAAATCGACATGGTTAGTTAACGAATCATACCAAAAGAAAGTGTATGACAGAAAACGTTTTTTTTAAATCTTCAAGGAAAATAAACATATAACATAGAAAAATGCAGTGTTGTCTAAATGAATGGAAAGAAAGTTCATTTTTCTATTATCAAATTATTATTGAATTATCTAAAAGAAAGGAGAAAAAAGGGTGTGGATGTGAGAACGAGAATGATATCCACAACTACTCATACCCCACATCCACACCCTCTAACTTCCATTTGCTTCTGAGCGAGGAAAAATGATTGTAACAGTGCATAAAACAATTTGCATAGTTCCTGCGAGAATGACTTATTCAGAAAAGAAGAACTTCAAATTTATTAGAGAAAATTTTGGGATGCCATCAAATAGTCATTACTAGGTGGGAATAAATGCTAATGAACATAAATATTCTTTTCCCAGTTTATTTGATATTAATTTACCATTATTGTTTAAATCAAATGTCAGTATTTTCTGCGTTTCTGAATTCAAAACAATCATTGTAAAATAATATCCTTCATAGCAATTTCCAGCTGATGGTTCGTAATTATTGAAATCGTCTGATAAAACGTCTGTTGTGCCATTATAAGGATTTAAACGTACCAAACGACAGCCACGCTTATTTATAGAACGTTGCATACCATAAAAAGCATCCGTTTTATTATCATAACATAAATAGGACGGTAAATCAAAATTTGAAATTCGACTTATTATTTTTTGTTTCATTAAATCAATACCAACAAGAATATCTTTGATACCAGACACCACTGTCACAAAATATTGATGATTTGTTGAATTATAAAAGATTGTCATTGAATCAGGTGAAACACCATCAACTTTGGTAATATTTACCCATCGTGTAGCTATAAAATTAATTCGATCTATCTGAACGATACTTACAGGATTTTCTCCTGCACCTGACATTTGTAATGAATATAATTTGCCTGTACTACTATCGACACGTAAACCAAATAGTTCAGCATAGTTTTCCGTGGTAACTTTTTGGTATTGTTTTGTACCATTGAATGGATTAACCAAAATCAATGACATCGATGATTCTCGTCTTACTGCTGCTTCACTAACAAAAACATAGAATATTTTATTAATAAGATCATAGGTAACATCGTCAGGTTTGTAATCATTCAAAAGAGTAAATAGCGTAAACTCTCCAGTTAATGGATTAATTCTGTATAATTTATCTGATGTTGGCCCAAGTTCATACGTTGCTCCTAATAAATAGCCTTTTGGAACTGTTGGCATGCCATTGATAGCATTAAAGATAATGTGAAACAATAGTAATGAAAACCGAAAAGTATTACTCATTAATCTAAAACTGAATACAAATTTACATTCTGAATTTCTGGATGTCATATATCTGAATTCATCTACACTAACCAAAAGTATTACAGGCTGGTTTCCAAAAAATGTTCTATTTTAGTAAATACGAGCACTAGCCAACTTTCATGTTTTGAGGTTCTGTACGTTCTAAAATTTTGTATTCCAATCAGGGGTACCGCGAAGTGACGAAGGTGGGGATCAACATTTTTCGCACCAGAGCTGATGTTAATTTTTTCTGTAGTTTAAAATATGCGACAATTTTGTTGTTTTCGACCAACTTTTGCACAAAGGATGTGGTGTGGGTGTGGGTGTGGATGTGAGCGTGGGGTGTGGGTGGATAGGGATGTTGATGTTCACTTCATCCACACCACACCCATGCTTATACCCAATCCACACCTCACACCCTCGCTTCTGACAAATAAAATTTTTATTTCGAGTAAAAGATCTCTACAAAGCCTTATGAAATTGGGCTCTAACATGAAAATCATGCGAAAAACTGTGGATATAGGACCGAATCGAGACAAGTTGGTTGTCTAAGTATAAAAATTCGCTAAGTTCTCAACGGAAAACAAGGAACTAATATAGACTGATCATCTGCTTTGAATACAAATCCATTGAAATTTGATTGATTCGAAAAATGTTGATCCTTACCCAGTATCATTTCTATGAAAATAAAACCGTCTCTCTACTTCTGATTCGTGAATTGATCTCAAAATTAGTAGGTCCTATTTAAATAACGAAGGAAAAGAAAAAGAACAGATAACAGATAACAGTGCATCATCACGTTTTTTCTTTTATCTCGTACTGCATATATGGTATTGTGTGCTACATCAAGGTGTGGGTGTGGGTGTGGGTGTGTGTTGGTGTTGGTGTTGGTGTGGGTGTGGGTGTGAGTCTGGGTGTGTGTTGGTGTTGGTGTGGGTGTGAGTGTGGGTGTGAGTGTGGGTGTGAGTGTGGGTGTGTGCTGGTGTTGGTGTGGGTGTGGGTGTAGGTGTGAATGTCTTCTTCAGTGACCCACGCCCGCCCCACATCCACAGCCACACCAAAAGAAATCGTAGATCGTAAATCCATTGTAGAGAGTAGCGCTATATTTATAAAAAAACACTATTTTATTGGGGATGCTGCATGCCTTAATGTTTGAAATTCATTGCCAATTCGATATTAAGTTTAAGCCTGCTTTTGCGTAGAAATTTCGTTGAAAGCTGCTATCAAGATTGCCTACGACTTACGCATTTTTTGTAAAAAAACGTTAATTTCTAATTGCATTTTGATAACGTTATGACTGTTCATTGGCGAACTAACTTAGTAACTTAGCCATCGAGTACTAATTGTGTCTCAACTCATACAAGCGATCTCACATTGATTTACCAAAAGCTCCCAGGTGGAATCTTTCTCTCTAGCATCCTTCGGATAACTTAATTCTAGTTAGCTCAAGAAACATCTAGCTGTTCATCGAAGAATATGACTCTTGATATCAATCAGCAACATATTGGAACATTTTCATCAGGAAAGCAACTAGTTTTATGACTATAGGTAGATACTGAACTCTCGTCAAGCACTTTCAAATCACATGAAATCTTAAAAAGAATCTCATGCAAGTTTGTTGAGCCCTTTGATATTATGTATGGTATGATACAGGCGTTCAATGTCCTTGTGAAGTTGAGTGAAGTATTATCAACTCTTCTGAAATCTGGCAAAGCCTTTAAAAATCCAGAAATCTTTGAATTTAATATCGTATCCCGTATATACATTAAAAAAGTGAAAATAATTGACCTCAGATATTGATTTTTTAGCGATTAATCAGTCATATATTGACCAAAACGGATCTTTTTTTTTATAATTTGACAAAATACGTGATATATTCTTTATTTTCGAATAGAGAACTTAGAAAAAACGAACTGACATCGATAAATTTACGGAAATGTGAAAATTACAGTATGAAAACCACAGATGATGTCTTTGTCACTGATCTGTCATATAACTGGACTTAATAACATAAAAGAAATTTCTCTACAATTGTAGAGAAAGAAATATTGAACATTTTTCGTCGTAGAAAATTTTCTGTAATATGCTATCTTCACTTAGAAAGTTATCTGGAAACAAATCCGAGTTTTCTAGTTATGTCCTGTGTACTTATCTAATTACTCCACAATTTTTCTCTACATATCCAATTACCCCATTTGGAGCCATTTCATAAATTTTTTCGCTCTTTTATATTTAGTAATTAGAAGATATCTCAGGTTAATTCGTTCTGAAAAACGAGATATTCTTATCAATTGTACAGAACAATATGTTCTATTCATCTGTGTACGAATGACTAATTAATCTTAATTAGTTAATGAGAAAAATTAATTTTACCTATCCCGTATAAAATACATGTTTATCCAATTGCCCCGTGCGGAGTAATGGGAAAAGGTCAGTGGCGGTAATTGGAAACAAGGTGGGAGATACGCATCTGTACCTCAGATTTGGAAAATTTTTACACTGATAGCTAGAGAAACGTTCATTCTATCTGTATGTCAAAGTTTATGAAAAAATAATTAGATATAAAAAAGTTATACCAATTAAAAGTTAAAAAAGAAAAAAATCCTTATTCAATTGCCCCACATTACTCGATCTCTAACTAGAAATTATGGATGTTCAGGGCCATAATGTTGAATGCGAAATCCGAATAGTAGGAATTCAATTGCATCACCCGCTTCTTCCATTAATACTCCTATACAAAATAAAACCAAAAATTTTAAAATTCGGTAGAACAAAAAAAAAGAAATTTCACCTTTTGGTGTTGCAAGGTAGTGATCCATATTGCAGGCATAATGATGGAATGACCAATGTCCTAATTCATGTATTATTGTAAAGAGTATGAGTGCACCGTATTTAATAATATCCTTTGAATGATCACTTGCTTTAGAACAGTCTATTAACTAAAAGAAAATTTTAAAATGAATAAAAATTACCCAGTTAACACTTTTTTACTTCTTTATTTAAATATATAATATTTATGTCTGTTTCTTTTTCTTGTCCCAAATAATTTCCATACACAGCACAGGGTACTGGTGCAATAAGAAGTTCATCTTGTTGAAGAATAATTGACGGAATATTTGATTGAGTAAATGCGTCCCTAATTTGATTCATAACGGTTTCAGAAACATTATGCTAAAACCAGAAAATTTATCTTCGTTCAGTATCCGTTCGCAGAACTCACCGGTAATACACCAGTATACTGATCAAATGGAACAAAATGTGCACTGAAATTACTTAATAGAAAATGATTTGTTAAAATTTTGGATAAGGCACACAAAGCAATATTTAAAGCCGGATATTCTTCAATTAATGCTTCATCAAAACCGAAAGTTAATTCATATTTTTGTAAATCACACCACGATAAAGTACATTTATTTGACATTTTCGATTAGATTCAATGTAGTATATGGTATTAAGACAATGAATATAATGAATTCAACGGCTGTATTTTGGTTAGCTGTTTTATGAACGATTTATTTAAGACGCGAATTTTGTATCAAAAAGAGTGTAAATAAGTGACATCTATGGTCAATAGTTCAGGTTTACTTGATTATATGCTAACAGACATAAAAAGTCAAGATCATTTTTATTGTTTGATTACACCCACACTTTTCTAGTTTATGTCTTCATTCGAAGCGTACCAATTTCAAATCTTTTCCATTGTAAGAGAAGTTTGAATCGAATTTTCATTTATTTCGCATGTAACTCCTCTATTGAGACAATATCAATTCTAAAATTATCACTGAATAATTTTGGTTCTGAATTCGACAGACATGCTTTGATATAAAACAGGACATTGGCACGTATCTTATTAAAAATTCTACACGTTTTTGTGTATGCTATTGTTTTCTAAACATTTATATGGAGAATCCAAGGTTTATTCACTAAATTATGATTTTGCATACAAATACTTTTGTAATCGGCATACAAGACGAATTAATATCATAACATTTAGATTTCATTGATGATAACGTATGATGTTGTGGAGAAAGAAATAGCATTCGGTTCAAATTTAACAAATATTTCATTATGTTGCCTGACAATAAGATCGAAATGTGAATTAGGCAATCTTTAGTATAAGTAAGGACAAGCATTGCTTTCATCTTTTGTCTATGTAGATGCATGCAAGAAACAGATACAATTTTTCTTTGCAAAGCTGCCACGAGCGCGAACACATACAGGATGTTTTTTTTTGAAAAAATAAATGAACAAAATGTTTGAACATGCGATACTGATCAAAACTGTTGAACAAGATATTTATATTACTATTTCTTATGTAACACCGAGTATCTAACTAAAATTCAAATAGTCGTTTGCACAGTTAACTAAGGTCTCGATCAAATGAACTATATATAGGAGTTTTATAGTTGGACTTTATCGAAAATATTTCTAAAAAAAAGAAACTGAACACGATTAGTTTTCAAGTCGCAGATAACATTCGGGCAGTCCACTTTTAATCTGGTGTGGTACTCAGCCAAACGTTTCTACCCAGAAAGAACGCGTGTCTATCAGAGATGGGATCCGTTCGTTTTTTAACCGAACCGAATTGACGGTAACCCAAAATCGTATCTGTTGGAGATTTTTAAAACTTCAGTCGATTACTTTCGATTTGGTTGAAAAGAATAGATATAATTTTTTGATTTGAGTTCAACGGCCTTTTCAAGTGAAATATAATTAATACTTTAGGAGGGACCCCATTAGAAAGTCGATTTTTCTTCGAAAATTTTATTATTCGAAAAGCCCATGTTCTTGTAGTTCTGATTGTCCTTTTTCAGAATACGTATTCGTTATACAGGGTGTCCCAAAAAAATCCCTTTCTAAAAGTTCTTTTTTGGATATCTTTGGTATTTTCTTAAACTTGATTAACTTTTTTTTATTTAAATCATAGGCGGAGACACCGAGATTTTTTTGACCCGAATGAGTTTGAAAAATATTGCTCAAAGGTATCACCCTTCATCCAAATACAAAAAATTAGCTTTCTCAATAAGATGTGAGTAATTCAAAAGCCAACTAAATTTGCTTTCTTTGATATTTTCATATGGTTAGATAGAGCTTATCGAGATCTACAAGAATCTGTGTATTTAAAACTTTCGAAGCCATTTCTTTGAAGCAAAACTTATAGAAACCTACTAAATGAAGTGTGAACAAAATGTCTTCAAGATATACACTGGTGCTCCATACTATTGGTAAAACAGCTTTTTAGTAACCTTTTTTGCTCTAACATTAGTAAACATAAGTTTTAGCGTGTCAAGGTATAGTTTTGTTGATCAATCATTGATTCCTGGCCTTAGATTACAAGTTTAAAAAAAATAGGAATTCGTATAGGATTAAATGCTTTTAAAATATAGAATTTTCTAGAGAAAAATGACAAAAATATAGGATTTCGTATGCATTGTTGCTTCTCAAAAATCCGTTTTCATCAACTTAATTACCTGGCCTCAAATTACAAACTTTAGAAGTTATGCAAATTCTTATATAGAGCTTCGTTCTCTGAATTTTACGATTATTTTCACTAAAATACCAACCGAAATTTAGGTATTGTATGTCGAGTTGTACCTCAAATATATATGCTTTTCTTCCAAGAAACACCTATTCTCATCTCCTGATTTTTTCGTAAAAACCGATGACTGGGGAAGGAAGAGTAGGGTCGCGAAGACTCCTGTACTCCCACTCGGGGCACAGTCAAATCTTGTGAAATTTTTCCAGTATTTTTGATAAAATATAGAAAAAATAGGAGCAGCGATTGAAATATAGGACAAAATATAGGATTTTTCAAATTATATAGGAATCAAAAGACGAATCTGACCCCAGTTTTATTCATTAAAAAAAGTGCTCAACGATTAGCTTGTTTGACATTGCACATCTGCATCACACTGTAAGTTTAGTAAGTTCATTGCAAATTCCATAGCGACACAAAGATTATCTGGGGCCGAATATAACAGTTATACTTATTAACCAACAGCCAAGCAAATATCTGTCAAAGAACCATTAAATATTTGGATGATTTAAAAATTAAAGTAATTTAGAAAGTTGAAATAATTAAAGAAAAAATGCTGCATAGTGTTTTTCTGAAAAAAAAAGGTTAACTTTTTGTATTTGGATGAAAGGTGATACCTTTGAGCAATATTTTTCAAACTTATTTGGATCAAAACAATCTCGGTCTCTCCTAGACATCGGTGTGACCGCCCTGACTGCCGTGAGTCACGATCGTGACCACTTTTCGAAAAAAAGTCGTGACCGTGACGTGACCGTGACCAAAACCTGGTCACGATCAGTCATGATAAATTTTCAATGTAACTATAAAGCAGTTATTTTCAAACTTTATAGAGAATTAAATATTATATTTAGTATTCTTTCAATATGTATCAATATCCCTTTCTAATTATGCTAACTCAAAACGAAGGAATAGAATCAATACAATCGCAATACCAGAAAAAATATACTCAGTATTAATATATTTTAAACAGTTCGCATAGAAATACTTTAGAAAAAAATGTACCATTAAAAATATTATGACCTCCTTGAACAAGAATTACGTCATTTTCATATATTTTCGACTTTTTTGACTTTTATCAGATGACTTATTCGATGATTGATCATTTCTCCACTTGTTCTGATTTCGCTCATTTCTATTCAGGCTTTGCCCAAATAAACTGTCAAGAACTTTAAGATATTTTCTCAAAAACAAATTCATCAATGTTTTTCATACCTAATCCTTTTCATTTATCTGTTATATTACTTTCCACCGCTCCGCACGAGGAGATTCGAGGGTTTCTATTGTGTCGAATAGCAAAACTTTTCCAGAGGGTCTTGTGTTGTGTCTCTTTTGTTTTTACAGGTTTCAATTAAAAAGATTGCTCAGAAAGCCAAAGCGATTTTGATGCTTTGAGAAGGAATTTTTCGGATTTTAAAAGCCTAGATAAAATATTGAAAACACTTAGTTAAGGTTTTCAGCTCAAAACTCTGAAAACTAAGCACATTATGGTGTAAATTCGGTAGTTGAAGTTGCCCATTTTCGAAAAATTCGATAATTGAATGAGGTATTATACTAAGTCTTGCACATATTTTCTCCAAGGGGGTCTTTTATTATGGAAAGCCTTCTAATATAGGGACCTCCTATCAGAAGAGAAGGGTATGCTATTTTGAGAAAAAGAAAATAGTCGTTTGTATAGAGACTGGCGTGGCTACCGTGACCGTAACCGTGACCAAACTGATCGTGACCGTGACATGACCGTGACCAAAAAATATTGGTCTCGCTGATGTCTAGTCTCTCCACCTAACATTTAAGTAAAAATTAATTAAGCTAAATAAAATAGCAAAGGTATTCAAAAAAGTTTTAGGAAAGGTCTTTTGGGGCACCCTGCATATGACTACAGCATATTTAGCCGAGTATTGGCGTTTTTAAAAAATTCCAACTCCCCAAACCACAAAAGATTATCAAAATGAAAATTTCTAAGACACACAAAAACGTAAAAAATAACGATACTGAGGTTGTGGGTGTGGGTATAGGTGTGGATGTGGGTGTGGGTGTGAGTGTGGGTGTGGGTGTGGGTGTGGGGTGTGGGTGTGGGTGTGGGTGTCGGTGTTGTCTTCGTTCATGCGCATACCGCATCCACACCCACACCCAAATTCGATGATCTACTATATATATGTCTCATGTATTCTACGGTTGAGTGAGAATCGATGTTTATCATTGTCTCAAGTCTGTTCATTTCTATTTTATTGTTAAACTTCATCTAATGTTTTATTTTTCACAAATGAGGTAAACTTTAATAACTACATTACATTTCTACTAAAATATATCTTCTCATAATAGTTATTGGAATATATTTCGAAAAAAAAATAAGTCTCGAATTATCTGACTTCATTACTTACTTCTAACATTCTCTGCTCCCTCAGGTTTCTTTTTCTTTGCCTTTGAATCATTAGATAGATCAATACGAGATAAAAATAAAACATTGTCTTCACATTGGACAAGAGCAACTGATAAGTAAAATATCTGAACATTCAGGAAAAAAATCATATCATGGAGGATGGGTGTGGTCGTGGGTGAGTGTAGCTATGACTGTGGGTGTCGGTGTTGTTCTTTTCTTAAACCACACCATACCCATATCCACCCACACCCTCAAGATAGTTTGTTTTATTTATGAAGTTTTTTAATGACGTGTATGAAGAATTAATTGAAAAAATGTATGGACAAATGATTCATGTATAAAGCTAATAAAACATAAGGAAAAGTGTTGTTTTTCTTGATTAGTAAAAGAATTCAAGTGCTGCATACATGCGTATCCAAAATCAGTGCGTATCTCTCTTTTGATGAACAAATGTTTCAAATTAGTCAAAGTTAAAAACCTTTTTCTAAGAGACTCAACGGTGACTACA